TGGACAGATGCATCATGGGCTACCAAGCATTCTTGTTATTACCCTTGCCTACACTAAACTTGAGTCAGAAGTGTAGAGGTAGATATTCGTTGCACATCCTGTTATGACGATGGTCATGGTGACTGATGCATGCTCATTGCTGCAGGGCAGCATTTTTCTCAGTCTACTGCTCTCCCTAGAAATACTCAAAGGAACATTTCAGTACTGGAGGCATTTGAACAAAAGGAAGTGTATGAGACACGGGTAGCTTCCAACTGGCTCTTCAGCATACATAAAGCTCTTACTTACAGGGTGAGTCACTGTAGATATAATAGAGGAATGAAATGTTGAGTCCATTAGAAATTCCCATTTTCTTGCTCATCAGCTAAGATCAAGGGAAAGCTGAAATGCAGTGCCTCTGACACTGCTCTTAGTCATAATGGCTTAAGGATTCCCTTCAAGCCCTCTCAGGTCCCAAAACGTTAGAAGACCATGAACTTTCTGAAATGTAATTATATGTTTTTCAAGTAAATTTCAAGTAGCAGGTTTTCATCTGTCTCCCCCAGCCTTTCCTACTGAGTCAATGAAAGAGCAAAATCAATCCACTTTAAACACAAATGTAAAAATACCCCTGAAATGTAGCAAAACATGATGCTGATGTTTTGCCAGTTACCATCAAGTATATATATTATTATTCTGTGAAAACAGCTGATTTTAGAAGAACACAGAACTGGAAGGGACCCTTCTGGGTTGGTTAAGTCAAGTCACTTCTGTTTAAAATACATCCCCCAGAAAAGCTATTTAAAACATTAGTATTGTAACAGATGTGCAGAAGAAGTATTTCTGATTTGTTCTGACAGAGCTGAATACCTGAGGGAGGAGTTTATGTTGGTTAAACATGACCAATACTGGTCTGCTGGAGTTGTGCTAAATCTAGCTTCTATTTTCTCTCCTTCAGAAACTTTAAAATAAAACATTAACATTCTTGAAGCGACAAGCTGCACTGTTCAGTGTCCTCGGGAGAAAGAGCGGGTGATGTCCTGGAGTCCAATCTTCCATGCTGTATTTCCAGTTATCCAAGTGGTAGTCATGAAATGGAACTACTTCAACATAGTACACCATTTTTTCTCCCCACTGTAATGTTACTTTATCAATGCTTCCAGGTTTAAAGGAGCTATATTTCTGTATTCTAGCAAAAACAGAGCTGCCAGAATTCAACTGCAGTTTTCACAGAGAAGTGTCACATCTATAAATTGCTCTTGGAATTCCAAAACTCTCACATATATCTTTACATGCTTTATAACCCAGTTGCTAACTGTCCAAGTACTGCAGTCTGAATTGAAATTGATCTGCACTGGAATCAAGAGTTACGAGTTTGGGGGTTTTCGATGGAACAGAGATCTATACAGAGATTTGGCAATAATTTTAAGCACTGCTATTCTTATTGGAAGCAATTAATTTAGTAAATTCACTAAATTTTCAGTTCTAAATAAGTTTCCAGGCAACATACCCTTTTCGTCCGTTCCTCCTCACATTCTGTGGGATAACTGTTTAAAAAAATGGGAATTCCCTATATATACTTGTTTTGTTTGGCACTTGTTTCTCTTACAGGTGCCTGCAAGCAAAGTGTTTTTCAAGACACAGAACCACTTGCTTTTTGATGTGATCCATTTCTCCACTCTTACATTAAGCCCCTTGTAACACTGCTTTTAGACTGTTCAGCTTTTACTAGTGGTGTCTTTATCACGATTGCCAAATAAGCAAAGAAATAGGGAGACTGATCATCTATATTTCAATTATTACCTTTTTCAGAGAGCTCTTAGATCAGTTGGTAAATACTGTATTTGTTTTACTGCAAACCCCCATGAAGCATTCATGTGTAAACAGCATTTTACATATTTATAATGTGCCACTACTACTAATGTGCTGAGACTAAGAAATAAGAATGGAGTTTTTTACCCCCCAGGTCTGTAATCCTGAATGCATGTAAATTCTGAAGAAATACTTACTTCAGTAGGATATTTTATTAATCTCTGGGAATGGTAGATAGAGAGGAATAGTATATAGATGCTGTCTTCAGCATCATTTGAGTAACACTGCATCATTTACTGGATTCCGCCACAACCGGGAATCCGGGAAGAAGAGAGTAAAAGAACTTAAAAAAAAAGCCCTGCTGAAAATAAACTCTTTTGTGGTTAAAAACCAGCCAGTTGGAACTGAAGCAGTGTTTTCTTAGGGTGGCAGGAACAGTCGGAAAAGTTGTTGGATTATTTTTGGCAGTGGCCAGCATATTATAGCTCTATCATTACTGTTACTAAACTGACAAGAGTCCACTGAAAGGGTTATTACTTTACTAGTACATTCTTGTAAAAAATTAGCATACTCAGTCTGGTAGCATGAAGCTTTGGATTTTAGAACTTTGTTTGAACTTTCTGACACATTCATACACTGTAACTAGCTTAACTCCTCACTATTTCAACCACACAGGTACAGTACAACATGAGCCATGATCTACGGAGAGCAGCAAATCCAAAGAGTGGCCAAATCATTGCAGAAGTGTTGCACAACGCGATACAATCAGCACGTAACAGATTGATTCCTGTGCCCTGCACTGCTTCAAAACGGGCTTTGAAGATTTCAGTTAGATTTTAAAAATTTAAGTAGCTTGTATTTGGATCTTGGTAAGAGCCAAACCCAGTGGCTAGAGTTTCTGGCAGCCAGCTCTCCTGTGGACAGAAACTGTGCAGGTGTAAAATGAATCCAGTTCATGCTTTGGGGTTAGCAGCATGTTCTCCTTAGCAAATGCATTTGACCCTCCACAATGAATCCAGCAGGATTTTTTGCAGTACCAGAGTACCTTATACAACCCTTATTTACCTTATTAAATGGAACACATAAACTATCTAAATATTTAAGATTAATAAAATACTATTTCTATCACTTTCAATGGCACACATGAATTTACAATCGGAAATGTACTCTGCTCAGAAGGTGTCAGCATGCTGGATTTAATTGGTGAAGAAAATAATGGTTTTCCCTTGATTTGGAGTCTATATGGCCATTCACAGTGTAGCAATTAAGACTAGAATTATTTCTTCCTTTACAGTAGCCAGAGGACAAGCATTTAAGTATGTGCCTTTATGTGTCTGCAGGTTTTGTATCTTCAGTTCTTCTCTAGTATCAGCCACAATCAGATAATTCTCTGCCAACAAATGGCAATCTGTGATTCTCCTTCTGATTATCTAACTGAATTGACCAAGAGATTTCCCTGCTGTTGCAGCTGTTGCTTTCAGCCCATGCCTTCCTCTTCTTCACTAGGCTTCAGCAGCTACCCTTATCTTCTGGCCAATTTCTCCCAAATCTGGAAGCAGGTCTACAGTTTATGTTGCCTCAATGAAGAGAGTATCCCAGCCAAATAGCTCACTTGGATCCACTTTGAATCACATACCAAAAAAACCCCCAAAGTTGAAGGCCTTTGTGCTGTGAAAGGTCTTCAGATTCTCTCCTAAGCCAGGACGACTCAAGTATGTCTCTGGCCCTCACCTGATTCCTGCCTGAATACCAGTGAAAAAAGGAAGCCTGCCTAGAACAGAAAGAGGGTAACTCATTGTCTTTTCACCTCACCAGTGCTAGTTTGCCAAAGGTCTTGATTAAGAGATTCCATCAGGTAAGGACACACTTGGTACACCCCCTAAAATGTCATCCCAAGTTTGTCGCCAAGTTTCATTTCATACAGCATACTGATTTTCTGGTTTTTTCCTAAAATTGCAGACATCCAGCACTGAGGCTGACCAATTTGCTAGCTTTTAGGACACAGTGTCTTTTTGGTCTAGCAGTATAAGAGCCTTAGAACTTTTTTTTTTTCTTTTTTTCTTTTTCCACGTGTGAATGAAAGATCTCAGGCATCATCTCTTCACTGAAACAGAGCCTCAGCAGTCTCTTATGAAAGTGGAGCTCATGTTCCAAACAATCAGCAGAGTCCAGTCACTATCACTGGACAACCTGTGAGATGTTTCATCACTCCAGCCTGCTGAGCTGCACACTTTCTTTCTCCTCCACTCACTTTCACTAAATGTGATGCTACCACAAAACAGCCCAGTCAACTTTGCAACTGCATTTCTTCACACTTAGCTCAAACAGTGATGGGAGAGGCTAGAACTATCCTGTAGGTAGCTGGTATTTCATGTGGAATAATACAATCACTAACAACGTTACTGTATGTGTTGATAAAAACTCAACGGAGAAACGGAAGTTATGTTCCACTGGCTGTTCAGAATGTACACTAGCATGCATGTTGGCAGCTCTCCTCCAGGGTCTCTAAAGGACTTCCAGCGTTTGGGGTATCATAAGAGGAGAAAGCAGGGGGCACAAACTGCATAACTAAGATGTGTGCATAGCAGATTTGTGGATAGGGCATAGATAGGTTCATGTCCTGCAGGTACTACAAACATCTCTAGTTTTGAGTGTTTGAGAATTGACCATTTTGAAGTACTGTGACAGAAAAAGGACACGGAACTGGTGATAGTGCTGTTTAGACCGATCTGGACAACGAAGCAGAGTAGCCGCTGAGTTTTGCATCAGCTGCATTTGCTGGCACACAACTTGCGGTGCCTTTAGTTGTAACCAGACTTGTTTCCCAGACAAAGATGATGGGGGGTCTGAGCCCTCATTTGTCTATCGCTACTGTGCAAACTGAGCTCAGATAGTGACATCAGCAGGTATTGCTTCACTATGCTGCATCACTCCTGTTTTTGGTGAGCCTGGAAGATGCCTGAGAGGGATCAGGAGCAGCAGATTGTTAACCATGGTCTGGTAAAGGTGCTGAATAAAGGCAGCTCTGTCTTCCAAATGTGCTGCTCTTGAAAGTCGAGAACTGCACTTTAGACAACCTCTACACTGTAACAGTGAAAAAGGCACAGTTCAGAGAGCCAAGCAAGTGGATTTGCCCCTGTACTCCTGCTATCAATTGGGGAATGGTACTGAAAAACACTTCTTTGCTGGCTAATTATTGAAACAAATACTTCTACTTCTAGTGGAACGCAGAATAAGCAACTCCCAGACTCAGCTACGCAGTCAAACTGGCCCGATGGCATGCTGCAGCCAACGCCAGCTCAGCGTCTGGATGAAATAACGATCTTGCTGGGGACTAGTTTTTTGTGCAGTATACTCAAAGGTAAGCACAACATACACACGCTTCTCAGAGCAGATTGAAATAGTCTATTACCAGCATCACACAGCAGCCTGAACAGCTATACCAGAAAAAGTGTTTAAATGACACTTGACCAACATACAAGTGGGGAAGAGAGTTGTCAGCTTGAACTTAAAAAATCATTGGTCTGTCTTCTAAAGAATGAAGATGAGCGCAGTTTGCATTTAATACTCTTATTTTTGGAAAAGCTTAGTTCTTTGACTTATTAAACAAGTTGCTTCACTGATACCCAGCTAGCTATTGTCTGGCTAAAATGGGAGTTTCCACTTATTCTGTCTTCTTTTATTCTGTCTCCAGACATCATATCTTTTGTGGGGAACATTTACTTATAATGAGATATGGTCCACTTAGAAGTCACAGTTCTCATTAAACATCCTCTGTTTTTAGTACAGTTTTTGTATTTTTGGCAAAGGTGATAACCTTTGTGGCCAATGTTACAAACAGCTACCCATGTACTACCAGCATTAGAATTGGCAGCTGTGCATCTCCCTGGAAGTTCAGGTGGCTGCACCTGGCATGCACTGTGAACACTTCTAGAAAGCACCATGAAAGTCTAGTAACTATGTGACAAAGTTTAGAAATAACCCCGCAAAATAATCCCCCCAAGCCTGTAAAATATCTGTACGTGTCAGCAAAAAAGTCCACAATCCTCACAGTCTAAGGCATACCTATTCTTTAAATGTTAACTTTTTTTGCTTCTGTTGTCATCAAGTCTAGTCCACTTTTTTAATCTGTCAGTTTCTATTCTCCAATAATTTAGTAATTGCTTAAAAGATTCAATGTTGAATCTTCAGAAAAACTCCCAGGTATCCCAAATACATTTTGTCTGTGTTTGGGCCACACTCCCCACAGAATGCTTTACCACAAGGAGAGGAAATACAAGGCAAGTTTTTTTTTTAAAAAAAAAAAAAAAGGCAAGCAGGTGAGATCTTTCTGATTTTGTGTTAATGGCCTTAAAGCAATAATCTTAGCATATGCAACATAAGAAACTCAGAGAAGGGAGATAAACGTAGCTGCATTTTAGAGCAGTGAATCTTGTATAGCACAAAACCAGAAACAGCTCTTTGCTGACATTTCGATGTCTCTTTCCTATAGAAGGAAATAATAAAAAAAGGGCTTATGTATAAACACAGTAATAGGTTGAGGCTGCTATTGGCATGTCTAAATTGTGCCTGAATTTTGTTCTGCAAACCTTTTCCATTAACATTTCTGTCGGGAAAGCTAACTCTTTAGAGATGTAATGCACCATCTGATTTTAATTTGGTTGTAGAACAAGGGGTTACTCTCTGAATCGTGCGTAGCCAAGCTATTGAGCTACACCCAGCTCTATTTCCTTATACAGATGATGATGACTGCTCAAGCACAAGCATCGTATGGGAAAGCAGCAACCCTCAGCCTTGTTTTAAGCAAATTAAAGTAGCTTTGGAACAGTAAGGATTTTCTGTGAGAGAGATTTGACTCTCATAATCATTTTGTTCCCAATTCTTCCAGCCCAACTGTTGCACAGACAACTGCTAATGTGGCTTTTGGCCTTTCTCTTCTTTTCTCCCCTTGATGCAGGGACTGTAGCATCTTCACCCTCTTCAGTCACTACCTTCACTTGGCACCTCCTGCTGATTTCTTAAATGCTTGCCCAGCCCTGCACAAACACTGCTGTTTATTTCATTTCAGTTCTTGTCCAAGATACGACTATCCACACAAGGTCCTATGGGACATCTTAGGGTTCTGCATTTTCTGCAAGATTGTGCTCTAGCAAAGCTAAAGCCCTGGTTGAGTGCTTTAGTGCTGCTTGGAATTCTAGTCTGAGAAAGCTGAACAGAAAGAGAGAGGGGGACCTTCAACAGTAATTGACCCACACCCAGAAAAAACATTAAGACGTGCTGGGAAATCACAGTGGAACTGCAGAGCCCGATTCCTCTTTACAAAACCCTGTTTGTCCAGTCTATGTGCGGCTGCCTGCCTGCTGGCCGGACACAGTGTAATTCAGGGCCAGCTGAGACATGTCAGGCAAAACAAGGCAAAGAGACAGGGGAGGGGCCTCACTTGGTAGTTTTTTTTCTGTTTATACCCTGTCTCTGCTTATTAAGTCTTCACAGAGGAAATACAACGTCTGCCATTAACTGCAATTGCAGATCATTTTTGAATGTCTCTTATTCCCAGGATGCCTGCTGCTGATTTGTTAACCCAACATGTGGCTGAATTAGTCAACACATGGTAGTTACCTAACAAGGTATCACTGCTGCTGGTCTTATAGCATAAAATTGTTCTTAGCGAAGTTTTAGATATTTGTTTTATACTTTTCCACATCCAAACAGATGTGCATATTCTCCAGGTCGAAGGAAGACTAGCACTGGCACTGGATCTGCTATGCAGTGACATTTGTGGAGCTTCTTGCTCATGGCACTCTGAAAAAAGGAAGGTGTTTCTCTGTACATAATTCCCAGTACTATGGCCACAACGGTTTTAGCTATGCTATACCTAAGATGCCAACCCAGAAGTAGCCTGTCACCCACGGTGCTCCTATGTAATACCCGTATTTGTCCTAATAGGCAGCTTGAACATGGAAAAATCCCATCTGCCCTTGTGACATGTGATGCCTGAGCTCTTCTGGGAAGGAGCCTGGGCTTTATCCGCCCAAAATCAGCAATGTGGTGCGTCCCGAAAGGGCAGATGGGATAGATGGAGGCTGCTGGAGGCTGCTGAGCCAGCCAGAGTGGTGGGGCTTTTCCACATGGCAGGTAAGCATGGCTGTTGAGTGTGTGACAATGGCACGATTCACTGGGGGCTCCCCTGCTTCCACAAGTACCGGCTTGGTGGTCCCCACCCTAGCCCCAAGGACACCTCTGCAGACAAATTAACTGAATGGACAGCTATTTTAGCCAAGGGACTGCTTCTACTCTCACTACTCTGCAGGGTATTTCCAGCCAAGAGACCAGCCCTGGACAAAAAGGCTGCTGCAAAAATCACTAGAGATTTTACTCCTGGGAACGTGCTGTCGCCATATGGTCTCCATGTTAATAACACCAAACAAGTGCTTCATAAACAGTGTTATAATAACAAATACCAGAGGAATTAATAATAATCTAGCTATTATTCTCTAATGTTCTCGCTTTATTAAGAACATTTATACTGTCTGAATGAGCTCTTCCGGAAGAACAACATCTGGCACTCACATGAATACCTCATGAAATCTGTACGATCCTGGGTATCTTATAAATTTATTGTCAGCAACGGCATCCGTTTGTGCCAGCACGGTTTACAGTAACATTACGTTTTTCTTTTGTTCTAGGTGCATAGCGTAATGTCCATGCTGTACTACACTCTGATTATAGCTTTTTTGATCGGCACACAGGCAGCTCCAAAGTCAGAAGACAATGCTCCACTGGAGTATCCTGCAGAACACTCCCTGCTCAATACCCACCGGAGTAACAGACACCACATTCCCAAGGCAGCTCCACAGACATCCCACGGCCACTCTACTTGGACGATAGGTAGACAAGAAGCTATAAATATCACCATGGACCCAACATTTTTTAAGAAGAGGCGTTTCCGGTCTCCTCGGGTGCTGTTCAGCACACAGCCCCCCCCAGTGTCAGGGCAAGGACAGAATATGGGATTTCTCAGCAGTGCAGGTTCTCTCAACAGGACTGCCAGGACCAAGAGGACCACGCATCCTGTATTACACCGGGGAGAGTTCTCAGTGTGTGACAGTGTCAGCATGTGGGTTGGGGACAAAACCACAGCCACTGACATTAAAGGCAAAGAGGTGACAGTGTTGGGAGAGGTCAACATTAACAACAACATCTTTAAGCAGTACTTTTTTGAGACCAAGTGCAGGGACCCTAAGCCAGTCTCCAGTGGGTGCCGAGGGATTGATGCAAAGCACTGGAACTCTTACTGCACCACAACACATACCTTTGTCAAAGCGCTGACAATGGAGGGCAAGCAAGCAGCCTGGCGATTTATTCGAATTGACACAGCTTGTGTGTGTGTGCTCAGCATGAAGTCAGGGAGACCCTGAGATGGATCTAAACCCCATGACAACATCCTCCTACCCCCTACCTCAGTCTGTAAATTATTTTAAGTTATAAAGGACTGCATGGTATATTTATAGTTTATACAGTACAGAAAGAACCTCATTATTTATTAAACTCTTTTGGAAACCTTTTGTGTTTTGCAATTTATTTACTGGCAGAACCCTTCAAAAGATGTTCACCTTGGTCTCGCTCAGCCCTACAGCTCTGAAATGTTCACAGGGCCACTGAGAAATCTTTGCTTGCCATTCTACAAAAAGAAAACATTTTTCACACAGTTTTGACACATATTCCTCTCTTCCACAACAAAAGAATTTTCCTCACAAAACCTGCCAGTTTACTGTGAAAATCTTCCAGGTTTATTTTAAATTTAAATGTTTTAAACTACCAAGAGACTGAAAAAGACCTTTCAAACTTGCTTTCAATTTTACTAATTATCCAAAAATATATTAGTCTTATATAATTAATCATCTTAGTGAGCTGCTGGTAGAAATACTAGTTCTTCATGTTGTTAGATAAATTTTTAAGTAAGACCTTTAATGCATTTTTTAAAATTGCCAAATTATTTTCACTGCAAAAATAATCCGTTCTGAATTATTTTGGAACATTTGTCTGCACAAGAGTAGAATCTAGATGTATGTATTTTTGCATTAAAATGGTATTTTACAGCTCATTACTTATGAGCTATATTAATGGGGGTGCAAATGTCAGTATACATATATAAATAAAAAAAAGTTCATGTGGCTTATTAAAATTTGAAAATTCTCTCAAGCTAGTATTTTGGCAATGGGGACTTGACATAGGAGCAAGTCTTTTCATGCATGAAAGAAGAAAACTTTAAAAAAAAAAAAAATCACTGAGGCTGTGTTTTAGCAAGGAGCCCCAAAATAACCCTATGCTCATAATTTCTGTGTTTTGGAGAACATTGGTCTTTAGAAGTACACGGTGGAGCCTGAGGCCTGTGATGGGTGTTTCAGTCATTGCACACTGAATAAAGCTGCAGTTTCTCTCATTGTTTCCTTTGGAAAAGCAGCTGTTATCCATTGCAGAAACTGTTTCAAAACAAATACCATTAAGGTTTTTCAGCTTGGTTTCTTCCAAATCCTAGAGGGCACACTTTCACCCTTGCCTTCCCTCATGCACGCATTTCTTTAATGAAAAAAGCAGACCTGACATTTGCTTCCTCCACATAAACAGCAAAGAAGGGCAGCAGATCTCTAGAGAAAATGCGTTGTAGTAAAATAGTGCCAGTGGAAATAACCAAACCTAGGCAAGATATGCTTTCTGGTATGATAGTGCCAGTCTGTGTGAAGTGGAAGGCACTGAGACAGAGACCATTCCTGATAATCACTGGTATGCCACTTTTCAGCCCCCTCTAGTAGGTGGTTATGGTGTGGGACAGCAATATTCCAGTAAGAATGTTTTGCTCTCTCTAGAACAACATATTTGCAATATTTGCATGAATAGTCAGTTATCTGAAAGGTCAAGGAGAGGGCAGGCTCCTGACTGTCCTGTGTCCTCCAAATAATGACAACTTGATCTGGAGCAGGGGGAGGCAATGAAGACTAAAGAATACTTACAGTGCAATCGTGCAGGCATCAGATGCTCTGACACAGTATCAGAATACAACAGCAGCGGCAGCCACCTACAGTCATCACAGGAGAGGTGGAGGGAGATCAGTGAAACACACAGTATTCTGAAGCGAAGAAAAACGTGGAATTGGAGCAGAGTCCCACCTGTGCTCTTTGGTGGCCTTAAAGCAATGGACAAAAGTAACAAATCTGCTTTAGAAGTGCTCTTTACCATACATGACACAATGCAACTAGGGAAAATGAAGCTGCTACTCATCCAGAACTTCCAGGTTATGGAGACTGCCATTATTTTACCACTGACGTAACAAAACCGCAATTGAAAGTGTATCATGAATGCATTTGGTAATTCCAAACACGTGTAAGACTTGGCATTTCTTCAAAGAGCCCTGAAAATGATGACTTTCTTCTTAAAGCAGTCTTGGGAGCTGACATTCCTTCCACATCCAGCCCCCTTAGGAGTTCCTCTGACTACACCTTAAAGCACATTCTTGCCAAAAACAAGGTACTACTACCTATAACGCCCAATCTGAGGGGGCTGTCATTAAAAGCTCTATGAACTACTGTTATAAATCCTGACCTTGATTAAAATTGCTATTAATAAACATTTAGCTATTCATTATGGGGGGAGGGTTTATTTAGTCTTGCAGATATTGATGCGATCTATTCCACATTTATCCCTTCAGCTGATTTTTATTTTGTGCTCCCAAGACTGAAACTATACTACTGGTTCATCCTTCATGACAGTGATCTATTGTATTACTGACACTTCTTGCCTGTTGATAAAAAAGATCTCAAAAGGGAGGGTGGAAGAGTGAAAAGGACAGTTCGATGCATTCACACTTGATCTTGATCCCACTGTTAACTGCAGAATCTGGAATTCCAGACTTAGAGCAAATTTTAAGGGTGTACATCATTTCTCCCCCTGCATATATGTTATTGTTATTGTTATGCCTGTGTGACACATTGATGTGAGCAATGATCTACTGAGAAGTGGTGAAGTATTTCAAGAAATTAATTTAATGAGAATGTGGGTTTTTACGACTATAAAATAAGAAAAACCTGGAAAAGGGCATTCTTAGAAAGAGAAATATTGCGATATTTCAATTTTTGTATTAACTGTGCACTTAAATGGCAAGATAAGGCTCCATCTCTGACCATAGCTACACAAACCCAACCTGTGAGATTCCCCCTGCAGCACTCAAACGTCATTCCACTTACAGATGTTTGCGCCACGTTTAAAGACTAGGATTTAAAACAACAGTAGTCCTAGCCGTTCTTGCAGTAACTGGCATCACACTCCCCTGTCACCTCCAGCAACAGAGAAATATTCTTGATAAAGCACAGAGTTTCACGCAATCTGAGGTTAGTATCATACAATAAGGATACCCTGAACAGCCAAAAATTAAGTACAAGACTGACTGCCTGGAGGTATAAGGAACTGTCATCTCTGGACATGCCAGAGAACAGATGAGACAAATATCTGCCAGAAATGCTTTTGCCTTGAGTGAGATGCAAGGACTACATGACTTTCAGTGACATTTGCCACAATTTGCATGCTTCCAGACAAGAGTTAAATTATAACTTTTTTTGTTGAAGTCATGCTCACAGTTGTCACCCGTCTACAGAAAGGCTGAGAAAGAACTTTTGAACATTTTCAGTTATGTATATGGACCCTGCTAAACATGGCCCCATACTTTTTGTATTTCAATATATGGATGAAGGAGTACAAAATTCATGCAATAATTGCTGTGTAGAAACTCACAAATGCTACTGGTCTACACCACAGCAGGCTGCGTTAATAAAATCAGAAACAGAACAAAACCTGGGAAAGCATTTTAGATACCGTTGTTGATAATCTGGAGGCTTAGCCTTCCAAACCATAGTGAACCCAATGACAAGACATCTTTCATAAAGACCTTCTGATTATCTCAGTAAAAAGTATCTCTTAGCATCCTACATCAGAGACAGGTGAACTGTCACAGAAAATTCCTCTACACAAACACATTGCGAGGGTATCTTAAAAGCCAGTGTTTCCCACATTATACTAGCAACTCGGTCTCAGAATGTAATGCCTCCAGGAGGTGAATCAGTGTGTGCATTAGTCACTGATTATCCTGACTGCTCTCTGCTTCCTTGGGCAACAACTGGCATCTTAAAAGCAAAGAGCTACATCAACATGTAATTAGAAAACTAACTAAGTGCCAAGCTGTTGTTAATTTTTTTTTCCCCAGAGATAAAATCCAGCTAGAGATGCCTGAGATATCACCTCAGTTGCAGTGACTTGATCTTTTACATCATTAGGTTACAGCAGATTGTTGTACACAATGCCTTCTGGCCAGAGTACAGAAAAGAAAACAAAACCACCTGTCTTCAGTTTGCTCTTCTGGAAAGTACACCCATGAGGAATATCAGACCAACATATAGGAATGACAGAACTTTTAGAGATAGATTATGCAGATTAAATATTAACAGCAGTGCAAATTTATGTATTCTAAAAAAAAAATTTGAAATACCTTTTTTCAGTGTTAAGTAATTAATTTTCCAAATACTTAATGAGAATTGACTGAGTGCTGCTGTTTGGGAAACTGTGACAGCCACGATCAACTGTCAACATAGTTGTTGCATTAAGTCTGCAGCTTGTAAATATTTTCAGGAACTGTCCTTTATCATGGTTAGCTTTTAGTTTGCTTGCTTTTTCCGCCCCCCCCTCCAATCAAGCATGTAGTAGTCTGCCATTTTATTGTCTGCAACTCACATTACGGTCAACATACAGAATCCTCTATTGCTGCAAAGTCAGGTACAAAGAGGCTTGAGTGCCTTGCTTAAATGCCTTTCTCTTTTTTTTTTTTTTTTTTTAAATACATGTTCCTGTGTAATGTCAGTGTTACGTTTCCTGATTGAGAACAGTGCCCTCTCTCAGTGGCTCAGAGTTACTGACGAGATGGCAGTATGTTACAAACTCATTTGCTGGAGAAATCAGACTGATGGCAATTACAGCAAATCATACTAAGAGGTTATACAGTAGAGCAAAAGTGGAAATCTGTTTCCTTACGTGATTTTAAGGAAAGAGGAAAACAAATACAGGATTACTGCTCAGC